ATTTACCAGCAAAACGGGGACATGGGGTTTGAATGTTGCATTCTCTTTTTTTTTTTAAAACATTCTTTATTTATTAATGTTCATCAGAGTAAATGGGGGACAGAAATAAAAGGGTGGGGGTACAGCACAGTGGTTCTGATTTGAGTATACAGCTAGTATGGCTTAGACAGTAATCTTTCAAGTTGTTGTATACTAGACATGTGCAATTCGTTTCGGTCCAAATATGAATTCGGATTAATTTCGGGCAATTCGGACATTCGGGTACTTCTCCGAATTGCCTAAGTGCCGAATTGCCGAGGTCCCGAAGTTCCGAAATTACCGAATTGTGTCGAAGTGTAGAAGTGCTGAAGTGCTGAAGTGCTGTAGTTCCGAAGTTGCTGAAGTTCCGGAAGTGTCAAAGTGCAGAAGTGTCAAAGTGCAGAAGTTCCGAAGTACAGTATTGCCTAAGTACTAATATACTTACCCAGTGAAAGAAAAAGAATGTTACATTGTATACAATTTTAAATAAAAAGTATACAAACATAGCCAGGATACAGCTGTAAGCATTTGCAACACTTACAACAATCAAGTAACATACATTCATTTAAAATGTAAGTTACTTAGCCAGTCATGTAATGACAGGAATGAATAAGTACCTGAGCGGTGGGTGGGGGCCCTAAATACTAATAGGGGGGGTGGGTAGTTTTTTGACATGGTGGGTTTGGCCCTGGAGTGTGGGACAGTTCATTGGGTGGGTCAGGGTTAACTCATGTTATTTTCGTGTGGTGTCTCTCATTCCAGGCTTCTTTACGGGCCGCGGCCTTGATCCAGAGTGAGTTATGCTGGTTTCGCTGTCTTCTACTATTGTTGTTGCTAGGGGGTGTGTGACCTACTGGGAGGTGGTGCTTTTGAGTGGTGGTTCTAGGTGTTTCACCCTTCTTTCTGATTGGGTTAACTAAGTTCATGGTGTGAGGGATGGAGCAGTGTGGTTATCGAGTGTGGCCCGGTCATTGTAGGTGTGGTTCATTTAGCCATGGGTCCCAAATTTTGTAAAATTGTTTGGAGGTTTCATGCAATTTGGCCGAGATCCTGTCCATATATATTACCTCCCTGGTTTTGCGTATGATTGTTTGTAGTGTGGGGAGGTTGGGTGTCCACCAGAGTTCTGCCACTGCACGTCTCGTCGCCAGGGCTATCCTGTGTGTCAATTTGTTTTGGGCTCTGGACAGGTCCTCTCGTGGCCTGGAGAGGAGCCAAGTCCATGGATCTAGTGGGATGGTGGTTTGTAGGAGCTCTGAGACTAGTGAGGCCACCTCTGTCCACAGTGGGGTTAGTTTGGGGCAGTGCCACCAGAGGTGTATGTATGTGCCCCTTTGTCCTCACTGTTTCCTGCAGAGGTCTGAGTCTGATCTGCCCATGCGGTATATACATACCGGTGTTAGGTACCATTGAGCAATGTTTTGTAGGCTTGCTCTTTATGGTTGACGCAAATGGATATGGAGTGGGTTCAGTGGGTTCATCTGGGGTCCCCAGGTCCCTCTCCCAAGCCGACACGTAGGCCAGTGCCCAGGAGGGCTGATTTGTGATTAGGAGTGCGTAGTTTTCTGTGATCTGGCCTTTGCGCAGCGGGCTGTGTGTGCAGACTCTCTCGAACTGTGAAAGTTTGGTGGTGGCCGCTTTTTTGCTTTCTGCTTGTTCTAGAAAGC